AGCCTTCACTCTCAACTTCATTACACTCTCGCCACTCTGATAACATCGGGGATAAGTAAGCACGCAAAAAACCTGTTTCGTGGTTTGTGTGTGGAGGAAAGAAGGGAGTGAAGAAGGGAAGGTGGAGGAGGAAGAGGCGGAAGGAAGGGGGAATGAGAGAAGCAGAAGGAAGGAGCCAGGAGGAAGGAAAGGGGAGTAGAGGGGAACGGCGAGGGGCTCTCATCTCTGCTACGTGGCTTGCTTCGCTCTCTCTCCGTCAGTACGTCGCATACTCTCGAAAGGTCTTAGTCGGAGTGAACGGTGCTTAGTAGCTGCTAAGGCTGAGTAGAGCGCACGAATCTGCAATCTGGGCTTCCGCATCTCTCGTGTTGGATGCGCGTCGTCTTCCCTCTCGTACTCTCTCTCACCACCTACTCTCTCTCTCTGCTCTCCCACGCCTCATCTCTCTCATAGCCTGCTGCATCCAACCTCTCTCTCTCTCTCTCCCACCTCTCTCTGTTTCTCTCATAGTCTCTCGTCGTCATCTTCTCTCTCTTCTCTCTCTCTCTCTCTCTCTCTCTCCAGGTCTCTCTCTCTCTCTCTCCTCTCTCGCTCTCTCTCTGCTCGTCTAGCGATAGAGTGCCTGCGTGCATGTGGACGTCTACGGGCTCTCTCATTCGACTCTCTCTCTTCTCTCTCTCTCCTCTCCCTCCTGCTTCTCTCTCTTCCCTCCGTCTCTCTTTCTCTCTCTCTCTCTCTCTCACTCTCTCTCTCTCTTTCTCTCTCTCTTCTCTCGCTCTTCTTCTCTTCAGTCTTCTCTCTCTCTCTCTCTCTCTCTCTCTCTCTCTCTCTCTCTTCTCTCCGTCCTCTGCCTTCTCGCGTCTCTCTCTCTACTCTTCCCTCGTCTCTCTCTCTCTGCCACGGCTACTCTGCTCTCTCGTCTCCACCTCTCGTCGGTTCCTCTCTCATTAGCTCATCCACCTCTCCTCTCTCTCTCTCTCAGCCTCTCTCTCTCTCTCTCTCCACACTCTCCTCTACTGCTCTGCGTCTCTCTCTCTCTCTCTCTCTCTCTCATCTCTCTCTCTCTCTCTACATCTCTCTTCTCTCGGTGCGTGCGTCATCTCTCTCTCTCTCTTCTCTCTCTTCTCTTCTTTCTGTTCTCTCTCTTCTCTTCTTCCTGCTCCTGTGCGTGGGCGTGTGCTCCTCTCCTCTTACTTCCTTCTTCCTCTCCTCTCTTCTCTTTCTCTTCCTCTTCTTCTTCTTCTTCTCTCTCTCTCTTCTCTTCTTTCTCGTCTCTTCTTCGTCTCGTCTCGTCTCGTCTCGTCTCGTCTCGTCTCTTTCTCTTCTCTTCTCTTCTTCTTCTCTTCTCTTCTCTTCTCTTCCTTCCTTCTCTTCTCTTCTCTTCTCTCTCTTCTCTTCTCTTCTCTTCTCTTCTCTTCTCTTCTCTTCTCTATCTCTTCTCTTCTCTTCTCTTCTCTTCTCTCTCTCTCTCTCTATTCCTTTCTATTCCAGACTCTTCCTCTTTCCCTCCTTCACCTCTTACCTTGAAAAAGTCTTACTAATAATATAAGATTATATATAACTTTATATCTCATTTCCTTTCTGTTTCTCAGGTGGCATCCAGAGAGCCATCATTAATGCAGTTCTATGTATCAAAGCAGTGGGTCAACAAGTTCAACACTTTTGCCGAGCCAGGACCCATTGACAATTCTGATTTTCTTTGTCCTCATGGTGGGGTGCAGCCACAGAAGGTAAAGGTCTCCTATGTATGGTGTTTCTTTCTCTCTTTCTATTTTGGATTATTGTGTGATAATTTTCAGTCAGTATAAACATAATTATTATTTGTATTTTTGTTTGTATTTGTGTTTGTGACTTTGTCTGTGACTCTTTGTTTATGTGAAAATAGTAAAATAGGGATTACTGTTTGGAAGAGAAAAAGTCTGAACTACAACATGATTAAAGAAGCTTGTTTGCATGGTGATATGAGAGGTTTAAATAGTTCAGCTGCAAGATGGAAGTGGGTCAAGCAATTGTGTTTCATTATTAGCTTTTAGAAGTCTATAATGCTGTGATAAAGATAATGAAGGTATACATGTAAGCAAATGTATTTCTTTTCATTTTCTTTTCTACATTTCATGCCCTCCCCTACTTTTTAGGCCAGTTATGTGGAGGATCTGGTGATGTTGCTGTACCAAGGTGTGTGGGAATATCTGCATCAGGTGTTTGGTGGTGGGCCAGCCTGCACTCGCCTGTATGAGTGTGTGACATGCAGGGCAGAGCTGGAGGCACTGCTTCACCGTCAGAGCAGTGAACTGGATATGTTCATCCGCCTGCACAAGATGTTCCAGGATGAGGAGCACCCAAGCATTGTATATGCCATTTCCATGCGCTGGTTCCGCCAGTGGGAGAGCTTTGTGCGAGGGCGTGAGCAGGAGCCACCAGGGCCTATTGATAACTCATCCATCTGTACCAGCAAGATTGGCCAGCCCATGCTGAAAGCAGGCTCTGATTATGCCCAGATTTCTGAGGAGATGTGGTACTTCTTCTATGAGATATATGGTGGTGGTCCTGAATTGTTTGTCCGTTATGGTAGCCCTCCAGGAGCAGCCCGCAGGCAGGAGCGCCTCGATGGAACACGGCAGGAGGGAGTCAAGTCAGAGCAACTGCAGACAAGTGCACGCTCTCTCAGCACCGAAAACCTCCCCTACAAGAGCAATCAGGGCACAGCACAGGGCACGGCACAGAGCTTGGCCAACCGGCAGAGAACTGTCTCAGCAAGTGAAGTAAGGACTCAGATTTATGGTTAATGATTGATGAAAATAGTGATTAGCATTAAGGCGACTGTCTTTTTTGTTTTGTTTTTGATTTTTCAATTTCTTTTGCTGATTTTGATGAAACGTACAGCTGTTGATTTAGACCTTAGCAAGATCCCTGAGGATGATTTTTTTTTTTATTGCCTGAATAGTTATTTTGTTATAGTAAAAAAAAAAAAAAAAAAAAAAAAAACATCAAACCATCAATTTCAACAGTGACAATCTTTCAAAAAGCAGATAAAATCCAGGAAAAATCACACAGGCATTCTGTTGTTATCTTTGTACAGATTCATCCTTGATCAAATGTATGATCAGAACACTTTTTTAATTTGTGTGAATATTTGAAATAGCCAATATTAGGGGTAGGGTGGTGATATTTTTCACAAATATGTCACTTTTACAAGAATGGCAAAATATCGGTAATTGAATTTTTTTTTTATTTACATGATTATTTAGGCATTAGAAGAGGCATAAGATATATAAGAATAATCTTCCTATAACATAACCCTCTATCATTTACCTGCATTCTGAAGTATTGCAGAAATTCCCAACACGTAATAGTGTTGGGATAACATAAGAAGAGACTTATGTTATCGTAGGCTCACACTGATCTCTGGGTGGGTGTTTCTCAGCATACATTAACCATTTTTTCTAAAATTCCTATAAAAATACCCCCCCCCCCCCCAAATAACACTTATTCTGATTTCATTTTTGAACAGAACCTTTTATCTAGTCCATAATCAAAACACTTTTTTTTTATTATATCCTAGTTTTTGGTATGTAAATATTTTATGTAGACAACTTTCAGAACACCATAAAATTGCAAAAACTATGTGGAACATGTAGTAGCTCTATTATTCAGCTACAACATGAGCCATAATACAGACTAAGATTGCGTGTGCTACGCATCAGTATGTGATGTATAGAAATATCGCGATTTTTTTTCCTATTCCTATTTTTTACAATTACAAATGATATATGAAATAGTTCTATATGATGTGACCATCCATTATTTCCCTTTATTATTGCTCTGTTGGGGTCTTACAACATAAACTAGTCTGAAATATCATCGTTCTCCATGCCAGCGAATATCACACTCGCAGGCCGGGAAACGAGAGAAGGGGCCACGCGCACATGTTCTTGAGGTGAGGGTCTTAGGCGTTATAATTCTACGGGACAAAATACCCATTTTTCACACCAACACTCCTGTGAAATGCGGTTATACAAATACACGGTGGTGTAATATATTTATATGATATATAAGTGTATACAGATCATTTCTGTATATTCCATGACCTTATGTTTATATATTTTGTTACCTCTTTGTTTGTTTGTTTCTTTCTTTGTTAGCAAGATAATACAAAAAGTTAAGAACAGATTTTAATGAGATTTTTACCTGAGGTGTGTCTTAGCCTTATCAATATTTTATTTTATTTATTTATTTATTTATTTATTTTATTTTATTTTTTTTTTTTTTCAAACTCAAAAAGTTATGGACAGATTTTCATACATTTTTTACTAGACGTGCATCTTAGTCTAACTTATATCCCATTAAATTTTGGTGGTGATCGAGATAATTTGATAAACCTACCCCCATTTTAGGGGATATGGATTTGTATGCTCAAAACATTTTGCTCAAGAATGAAACTGACAAAATATGATCCAAACAAAGAAAATCAAATACTTTTTTTTCCCCTAATGCTTCCCAGATTTTTAGATTATTCTGAAAAAAAGGAGGTTGGTCTCATGTTATGTGAAATTTTATTAGCTCATTTTTTGTTTTATATCTAATTGTTATGTCACAATTGCCAATTTACTAAAGTAAGGTGGGGGGAGGGATTGTAGGGAACATTTGGAGGCCCTTAAACTCGTTAGGAATTGATTTTACCCAAAATCGGCAAATTGGCCAATTTTTGGCATAGAAACACGACAGTCCCCTTAATGGTTCATAGTAACAAAAATCATATTTCAAAACTTTAAATAATCATTCCACTTACTCTTATATGGTTGTATCACACTAGCACTTTTTACATAATTTTTTTCATTTTTCTCATGCAAATAGTCTGCAGACTGGCAAAGTATTACTGCTAATAAGACAGCAGGCCTAGTGCTTATTCTTTTATTTCATTTATCAATAATAGAAATACATTGTAGTAGTAGATCTTTCATACCGCAATATCAACTGGGAAATTTGTCTGACAAAAACAG